CATGTCAAGATATTATTTAAATCACAAACATCGCTACGATTCAATTCAAGCAATTTGGTTTCTCTAACTACCGATTTAAAAGCTTTCTAGGTTGTTTTGCTTGAACACATATTTCACATTTTCCTTGAATTTTAATTTCAGATTTAGGGATTAGTTCTAAACTCGTCATTCTTTTCATTGTATTATAATTTACATGGCCTAATCTTTCATGCCACACACTTGAACATTCAACTTGATAAACCATTGAGTAAGAACTTTTATTATCACTAGGATTAGAAACAATTACATTTAACTTAAAAAGACCTTCACACAAATAACCCTTACCAACAAACAAACCACTCTTACTAATTACAACTTTATTAGACTCAAATACAACTCGATAGCCATGTTGAACTAGCAAGGACCCAATGACTAAATTTTTCCTTATATCAGGCACATGCTTGACACCATCCCATGTAAGAGTCTTTCTCGAAGTAAACATAAGACTAACACGTCCTTCTCCAAGCACACTAGTGATGCTACCATTGCCCATACTCACAGTTCTAGTGTCTGACTCCTGATAAGAGGAAAACAATGACTTATCAGAACACACATGAATATTAGCCCCAGAATCAATCCACCAATCATTTGTTTGATATATCGTATTCACTTCGGGACTATTTGAAATATACCTGTTACTAGGACCAGTCATTGAATCCCTTATAGTCACCACATTGACTTGAGACTTAGGAGTAGCTTGATGACCACGATCTCTATTTGGTTAACCCTTACGGTGGTAGCAATCTTTTGCATAATGATTGGTCTTCCCACATACCCAACAAGATTTTTGATATTTTTGATTTTTGTTCCCATATTGTTTATTGAAATTTGCATGTTTATGAAAATTTGTATTTTTGAAATTTTTGGGTTTTGGCTTAAAAGCTTGATTTTCTACTAGAAGTGCCTTGTTTTGTTTTTCTACACTTGATTTATCTTTTTGAGTCTCTCTATGTTTTTCTTCAATTCTAAGTGAAATTAGCAACTCATCAAAAGAGAATCTTTGAGGCTTTTGTTTTTTGGTATTCTACCAAACTCAGACCAAGAAGGAGGTAATTTTTTAATTAACCCACCAACAAGAAAATTTTCTTGAAAAGTCATGCCCTTCATCTTTAATTCATGGACTATGTTTTGAAACTCATGGACTTGATCCATCTCAGATTTTCCATCTATCATTTGAAAATCAAAGAATTTTTCAGTGTAGTACCTCTCTAGTCCAGCATCTTCAGTACCATATTTTTTATCTAAAGTTTCCCAAAGTTCTAGTGCTGATTTAGTAGTGCAAAAAATATCATAGATAGGTTCAGTAAGTGCACTAAGAATTCTGCCATGACACAGGTAGTCTTTTTCTATATCAGAAGCAGATTTTGTTGACTTTTCAGAGACTAAACTTGTACTAGTTCCATCAACAGTAGTTGTTTCATTAGTCTGGACTTGGGTATGTTTATTTTCCTCAGGTTGAGTAGGTTTTTCAAACACAGAAATTAAACCCAAAGTAGTCAACCATAATTTCATTTGTTGTTGCCATCTTCTAAAGTGTTGACCGTTGAACTTCTCAGGTTTGCAAGAATTAGATTCAATAGTGCTCATATTTCAAATAAGAGAAATGAATAAACAAATAGAAAAAACAAGTTTGTCTACGTTATTCTAAACTTAATTTTATCTCTTCTTAGATTGTTAGAAAATTAAACATAAAAACACAGATTCATAAATTAAATAAACATGCAAATATATCAAATAAACTCAATCGAACTTAGATAAAAAATAAGTTTAGAATAGCCTGGTTTGAGGTGCGAGATGAACGTTGTCCTAAGAAGAGATACGTCCCCTCCGCACAGAGTTTTCTGACGTTCTTTTCCCAAGATACAACAATCCGAGAGAAGATACGGTGTAGGCGTGAATCTCTCTCTAACGAACTAATCTCACCCAAGTTGCCCACAAAACACCCCAAAACTAGTAAATAATGAAGGAGAATATGTATATGAAAGATGTTTTTCTATATCAAAGGAAGATTGATCACATGTCTATTTATATATTAATGGATAACCATTATCCTTTAAGGCTATATATATATATATATGAAATGCTTGGCTTCAACGGCTAGTAACTCCAATGTATATATATACGTATTAATGATATATGTAGTTATTACATATAACTCCCCCTAAAGAATTTCAACAATCAAAAATTAAAATCATTTAAAATCATAATCATAAAATAAACGTGGGGCTGAAATTATTAATATGAATAAATGATAATAAAATTTAATTTTAAATCAGTTGTCACTCTATAGCGTCTCTATATGAACACAAAGCAGTGTTTGTAGTGGACAAGCAATAAAATCAAATTTTCACTTTATGGTGTCTCTTTATTGTATGTGTTTGATTGCAATGTGGTAGCCTTAAAGTGTAACAACAAAGAGTGACTCCAACCATTACTCCCAAAAATTAAAGTTTGGTACTCAATTCTCAAATCTAGGCTAATAGTGTGACAACAAAGAGTGAATGTGCTCAAACCACAAAGCTAACCTAATTGTATGACAACACAAAGTGAATCCACACTTAACATATAAACTATGAAAATTAGTACTTAATTCAATTAGTAATTGTGACAATCTGATAGAAAAGAGTGCATCCACACATAAATAGAAAAAATTGAAAACTGGCACTCAATTCACAAAACTAGGGTAAAAGAGTGACAACAAAGGACGAATACACATTTAATACACACAAACTATGAAAAACAGTGCTTAATTTTTTAAGAAGCTAGTGTAATAGTGTGACAACAAAGAGTGAATCCTCAAATACTCTAAAACTTTGAAAATTGATACTCAGTTCGCGGAGTTAGGATAACAGTATGACAACAAAGAGCGAATCCACACATAAACACCCAAAATAAGAAAAAATAAACTCATTTCATAGTCAACAAAATAGTGTGATAATAAAGAGTGAATTCACCCATAAATATAAAATCTTCAAATTGCTACTCATTACATACAATTTATAAATAGTATGTCAACAAATAATGAATCTAGCCATTACCCCAAATTTTGAAAATTTATTGAAACCGAATTTTTAAATTTGCTATAGAGTGACTTCATAGTGTGACACCATACAAAAATTTAATGTAAATGATAAAAATTGCAAGAATAAAATTACAATTTTAACATGCATTTGATTTATCATAAAATATTATTACATAATTTCCAATACAAATAGGGTTTATGTAATATAATTTTTTTAAAATTTTTTTGGGGGAGAATGAGAGAAAACTTAAACCCTTGACTTCAAGAAAGTAAATTATTTACAAGACAAGAAGTATTATTGAATGACAAGCTCATTGCTATGTATTATAAGTTTTGGGGGGTTTAAGCAAAATAAAAAAATAATAAACAAAATCCTTACCATCAATTGTTGATGCTAACAGAGTGAAGTCGACTTTCTTTGCTGCTTAAAGAAAAAAACAATGTTCGTTGATGCTGAATAGAAATATTAAATCGTTGTATTAGAGCAATTTTTTTGTTTCACACAAACTGCTAAAATTGTCCTCAATATAGGACTCCGTAATTTCTGTAACAATGTAATCTATTTTTTTAAATAAAAAAAAAAGGAGTCAACAATTCCATTGTAAAACAGTTTTGAAGAAGATATTTTGAGTGTGATTGAGTCTGCTACACAATAGGAGGATGAGTCTAATCCTCATAAACTTCAACTGCCATATACTTTTGAATGTTGAGTTATAGAATTATTCAAACTCTATCAGCTGAGATATTGTCGGACAATTAGACTGTACACGCTGTGTATATTTAGATATATAAAAAAATATAAAAAGTTCAAATTCAAAACTCTACTGCAACTTTACAACTAGAAACAAGATCAATAATCTCACTTTTTTAAACAATATCGTAATTTAATAAATAAGTTGAAAAATATTGTGTATAGATAAATAAGTTTAAAAAACAATTATATTGCGGTAAATAACTCAAACAAGAAGACCACTAATATAAGCTAAATGGCATAAAATACTTACTTTTCAAAAGTCAATCAAAGTGAAGACCAAAAATCTGGAACCTCACGTAGGACCCACCCCAAGAACATTTCACTTCTCATCGACCCATAGGATTCATGATCTCTGAGAACAGAGTCATATTTTTTAATTTGTCACTGTTAGTCATTGATCTTAACACATTTTCATCATTGTCGGTCATTGATTCTCCATGCAGAGGAGGAGTCAAGGGACTGGCCAACGCTACCGGTAGTAATCCACCTCCACCACCACCATCACCTTGACCCTTCATCTCAGCCTCCTCTTGAAGTTGCAAAGAAAACTCAAGGCCCCACAAAACATTATTTATTCCTGGTCGTTTGAACCCATTTTCACGCAAGCAACTATCACCTAATTCGCCAAACTTCTTCAAGCACTCTGGCGCATTCTCCTCCCTTATATTAGGGTCAACAATTTGATCAAGGGTCCCATTTTTATAACAATGGCGAGCCCACTCAACCAAATTCACTTGATCCTCGGGTAAATCTAGAATTATAGCCGGCCTAGCACATAAAACCTCAAATAAAACCACCCCAAATGAGTACACGTCCGATTTCTCTGTCAATTGTTGTCGTTTATAATATTCTGGATCCAAATATTCGAAACTACCCTTCACCATTGTGCTGACGTGATTATGGCCCGCATCTATGGGCCCAGTTTGGATAATCCAAAATCAGAAATCTTAGCCACCCATTTCTCGTCCAATAAAATATTGGTGGACTTCACATCGTGGTGAATGATCGTGCGATTCGCACTTGTATGGAGATAATGCAATCCCTTTACTGCACCAATACAAATCTGAAGGCGTTGCTTCCACGGAAGACATGGTTTATTTGATTTGTAAAGATGATCACGGAGGATCTCGTGGACCATATAATCATACACTATGATCATCTCACAGTTGTCATGGCAGTAACCAATCAACGACACGACATGGAGGTGTCGTAGCTTCGATAGCATCTCGATCTCTGTTTGGAACTCGTGGACCCCTGATTGGATGATGGGTTCAGTCGCTTGATCGCAACGGTGGTTGCACCGTTGTCGATGTGGCCCTTGTACACATTACCAAATCCTCCTGCCCCGATGACAAAACTATCATCGAAGTTGCATGTAGCTGATTTCATCTCCTCAAGTGAAAAGCGTCTGCATAGATCGGACGACAGTGATAAACCGCTGGATAAGGGGATCCATGACTTGGGCTTTTTTGAACCCAAGTCTTTCACTCTTCTCCGTCGCCGAAAAATCCAGAAACCAAAGATCAAGACTAGAATAGACCCTCCTCCGGCTACGCTGCCGATAATGGCCGGAAAACTAGATGTTTTATTATTGTGCTTCTTCACACCAGCTGTTTCACTCAATTTGAAGATTTCTAAACCATTCAATATAGCATCAGCGTACTCAGGTCTAAAGTGGAGGTCAGGGTACATAGCGAGCCACAAGTCTTGCTTGCTCCGACGACCATCTGGGTCGGTGACCATAATGACGTAGTCTTTAAACACCGGGATTCCAGTACCACCACTCCAGTAGATAACATCTGCTCTTCTCTCTGCCGTTTGATTGTTGATGTATATTATAAAAACCCTTTGGTTCTCAAGGGTCACCTCCAATTGAATCTCGCAGAAATGGAGTCTGAGAAGATAATAAAACCCAGTATCAACAGGAAATCTCCATGTCAGATTGTATCTTAAACTGTCGTTGCCCATGGTCCTTGTGGTTGTGTAAATGATCTTCGGTGCAGTGTAGGGTGGTGTCTCCTGTCTATATCGGATTGCGACGTCCCTGTGAGGTGTAAACCCATAATCTTCGTAGGTGTAATCGTCGTCCGGACTCCATAATCGAAACATTCCCGTATCATTGGTTATTGAGACCTCATTACCGCCAACATTTAATCTATAGAGAGTCTCAAGAGCAGAGTTGTTATCAATATAAAATCTTTGGTTCTCGCTCACTAGTGGGATTGGATGATCATTGCCGCGAATGTAGAGATTTTCTGGCATTGAAACGACTTCAATGCCATTAACGAAGGCGTAAGAGTTCGGAGAAGGCCAAAAGGTTATATTCAGTATCTGGTTGTCCCTAAAATTGACGATGAACTCCTTTATAAGGGAAGCAACTGCGGGTTTCATGGCGGAGACAGTGAGGAAGGCACTGAAGTTGTTTAAGAGGGTGTAGTCGTTGGAAGTGAGGGAGAAGAAAGAGTTGGTAATATCGAGCTCAGAGTAATTAACTGGGTAGAAATAGAGACGAATGAATTTTGGTCCGGCATGTTGGGTTTCCCTCCTTAGTGGGACTCATCAATTTGCTAATTTTTTGGTGGCTTACCCGTGTATGACTCTTATCCAAGACTTGGTTTGAAGTCTTCTAGTTAAAAAGGAATTTGGCAGTCATCAAAGACTATAAGTTTTGTCCTTTTCTTTGGTTCATCTATTCTCTGTTGGTTTGGCAAGAAGACATATTTTTTGGCAGTCTTTGGTTCAACAAAAATTCAGCCTTCTTCTTCTCCTTTTTTGGTGCCAGAAAAATCTGCAAATTTGTTCTTCAAGTGGGTAATATTTCTTCACTTGATATTTGGGTTTATTGCGGTTTGTTTTTGGAGATTTGGTTCACTTATTTTGTGAGGTATTTTCCTCTTGTGATTTACACCTTGGTGTGTTTGTAAGGCTTATGCCTTTTGGCCACTTTGTAATCTGATTTGGTGATAGTGGAAGAAACTGACCTACCGGTCGTCGTGGATGTACCTCAAGTTATTTGAGGGAACCACGTAAATCTTGTGTGCTTATTTATTTTATGTTATTTTATTTATATTGCTTCCATTGATTTACACTTGTGGGAAAACCTATTTTCCCAACACGGCAGAGACTGGGAATGAGTAGGTGAATTGAGAGTGGAAGATACGAGAAGTCTTGTAGGGCACTTGAATGACAGACTTGGAGGATGTAGCATTCGACGACGTGTTTTCAATGTTCGACGGCGAGAATTGTGAGCGGACATCGCCGTCCCAGCTCCGGAGGCTAGCGTCGGTGGTGTTAGAAGATGAACCACAGTCGAGGAGAATGTAGTCGGTGGGAGTGTAAGGTAGCCAGGGGCTGTTGTCATCTACGGCGGCGGCGGTGATGGTGGTGGAGAGGAGGAGGCAGAGAAAGGAGGAGAGTTGGAGAGTTGAGATGAGCATGGGATTGAGCTTCGGAAGAGAAGGGGTTTGATGGTGGTGACTGATCTTGATCATGGTCATGAAGCTAAAAAAGGTAATGGTAATGAACTGTTCCACTATTTGAAATGGAGCTTGAAATATATTCAGAGAAAAAAATATTCAGGGAGGACGACTTTGACTTCCAAGTCTTTGGATTGGTTAACGTGTGCCTAATACTATTTTTGATGAATATGAACTCGAGAACCTTGACTTATACATGATATATACATAATTACAATTAAATTTTATATGAATTAAAAATAATAATGTTAAAAGTATTTGTTTTAAAATTAATTTTTTATTAACAAATTTATCCACAACTCATTTAACAATTAATTTGTTTAGCTCAACTCAAAACTTAGTATTTCAACATTTAATTTTTAATAAACTTAGATTTCAAAAAAAAAAAAAAACAACTTATAAGGATTATAAATATTTAAATTGAATCTATGATAAATTTTAATGGAAAAATTGAATCTATGACAAGCTTATTTGTGCTAAGAATCTATCACAACTTATGGGTGGTAGGTTTGGTTGTAAGAGAAGGCTTCTAGTGCTTGACAAAATTAATAAACAGACTGGATTAGTGTTAACACACTTAACATACTTAATTACATGAGTTATTTTAGAATTAATTAATACTCGACTCAAATTCGAAGTCCCATCACATGATTCGAATGCCATCGTTAGTTGCAAAGGAAGAGAAAAAATTAGAGATTAAATAAAGAGTTGTATGAGAAGTTCAACAATTTTTTTACAAACTTTCAATCAGGGCAAGTTCTAAATAATGCTAAATTTCTCAAATTTTCAAATAGACTGCAAAAATTTTTAAAACCGCAGTAGGGACAATTGTCCCATGCTAGATTCGCCCCTGCACGATTCATTTGTATTATGTGATTCCCCTTTAAATTTATGAAGAGTGATCTACTATTAATAGAAATTGAAAAAAACTACGAGAATCCAAATCCTACTTAAATGAGTGAATTCTGGCAATTTTGAACAATTACAATTTTTAACGAAAAAGAATAAAAAATATGATTAGACCCAAATAGTATTAGAGATGAACATGGTTTGATGTTTGATAGCGAAGGTGTTTGATGGTGGTGAGTGGTAAGAGCTTATGGGGAAGACTGCGTGGACTTAGAAATTTTTGGATTGATTCATTTATATATTTTGAATGCCACTTAAATTCATAATTAATGGTTTATGATTCAAAAAATTGATGAAAAATATATGAGAGTTAAAGTGAGCGGATATTGGATAATTTCGGGCTATTACATTATATTAGGAGAAAGAATAAAAATGTGGCTAGGCTACTATGGTCTTTAACCCAATATTTGTTTGAGGTAGGTTTTTCTTTAGCTAGGCTTGTTATATGATTTGAGAAGTTCAAGTCCGCCTCACTTTTAACTTATTAATATCATTAAATAAACCGAATTTTAATCAAAATTTTGAACTCCTTTAAAAAAACAAATCAAAGTTGAGTAACGTATATCTCAAAAAAAAATTCAGCTCGACTCAAATAGGTTTCTTATCTATAAATAATTTAGCACAGGAGAATTTTAACAATGAATAGAGATAAAAATCCTCTCGATGGTGAACCTAAAACAACTAAGAGGTCAGAAAAGGGGCCGGGTGATCACCCGACTTATCTCCTCCTAAGCTTAAGTCAATATACGTTTGGAGGGTTGAGCATAGTATATCTTTTTCTCCGTTTAGTTTGCGTATCTTTGTTCATCTTTCTGAGAGGTATTTATACATGTACCACTAATGAATGAAAGGGTCTTGAGTCCCATCACGACATTTAATGACTTGCACTCTTCTCCACGCGTAATGAATGTTCTACACTCAGATTCTCGTGAGCGTTCAATGCTCGGGTGATAGGACAAGTGCTCGGAGGCATGCCGAGCACTTATTACTACCTCCCGGTCATGTAAGTTCCTCTGATCGGTGTTCGACACCTATTCTCGAATTTTTAATGCTCGGGGTACAATACATCAGGGTTTGCTGAGTACACCTGGTCGGCGCTATGACCATTAATGCTCTGCAATCATGACCGTCAGTTTGGGGTCTTGAGGATGCAGAGACTCATTAATAGCCCTGTCACAGTCACTCAAGTCCTCATTAATGAGTTGCCTTAAAAGCTGATCCCAAACTACTCACTCGGTTCTTCTAAGTAATAACTCATCGGTGCCTTTTGAGTTCCATAACGACTATATTAATCCACGTGCCAGTTTGGGGGCTGCTAAACTGCCTAAAGTCCCGTCATAATTCTTATTTTATTACCAAGCAAACTCTATTGGAAATGTGAACAACCCCAAAACTATCCACAAATAACTCCAGGTTATATGCATTCTCTTTTCCAATAGATTTTTTGAAGAATTAAACTTTATGGTTGATTAAATATATTTTGAAAGATGTTTAAAATAACATGAGGATTAATTACTAAGTTCTACAGTTAGTTCTTATATTTTTTTTTGCCGAAAAATTGAGCTCGATTTCGACTCCAATATATACTTGAAAACTTATACTGGCTTGAACTTGAACTTGAGTTCTACTACTTCTAATCGAGCTGTGAATTCTATAATACTTGATGGTGTAAAAAATCGAGAAGCATGAGAGAGAAAAATTGAATCAGCTCTTGATGAGGTGTGTTAGACGTGTAATGCAAAGTGAGTAAGAATGTATAAAGAAATTAAGTGGTTCGCCCATCTAAAGAGCTGATTTAATCCACTGTAATAAAAAATTTTGCTCCTTGGCAGTGTATTGCTTAAGGAAGAAGAAGGTTATAGACTAGGATTTCTGCTTATGGCCCAAGGCAATGTACTTGTGTGCCTTTTCTAAAAAATAATGGTATAATTCTAACAAACTTATCAAATAATATTTAAAAGAATATTTGATTGTTAGAGGCTTTTCTCATAGATGTGACTTGACTTTTTACAAACGATATGTGGTTTTCTAAAGGTGATAACTATTGTCCAAGGTTAGTTTTATGGGTGGAGTCCTTTTTGACCTTTTTCTCGTGATTCCCAAGCTATTACTTGTCATCAAAGCATTATGACAAACCTCGTCTGTTCAAGTTCAAGTTGGCACATTGACAGCTATCCAAAGTATTTATATAATTAGAATTAACCATTAATAGTAAAATTTAAATCTATTAAGTATACTATTATATGTCAACTATTTAATCAAAATAAAATGTTAATAATTAGATATTGAAACAACACATTTACTGTAACGCAGAACAACATGTATAGAAATAATTCAAAAAATTAAATATAATTCAAACTCTATATAATCACAATTTTCTTGAAACAGATTTGAAAGATATGGTGTATGATGGTGGTGAGTCTGGTGACTGATGATGAAGCTGAAGGGTAATGGTGATGAAGAAGTAGAGGTTATGGATAGAAGAAAAGTAGTGGTAGTACTGGTAGAGAGAGAAGGAGATGTGTAGAGTTATGGTGAACATGGGTGGTATGAGCTTTGAAAGATATGGTGTATGATTGTGGTGAGTCTGGTGACTGATGATGAAGCTGAAGGGTATAATGGTGATGAAGTAGTAGAGGTTAAGTATAGAAGAAAAGTACTGGTAGAAGACTGCGTGGACTTGGAAGTCTTTGGTTTTGGATTGATTCTTGGGCGGCTATAACACGTTCCCAAGTCGGTTTTCATTTTTTTTTTCCACAAGCGTACTTTTTTCCACAAGAGTAATCGTTAGATTAACACAAAATTCTAATGTTTAATGTGATTCACAATTAATCTAATGATTATAGTGAATTAGATCGGTAAAATAAGTCAATAAATTATGTCTCACTAACATTCTTGAAACTTTATACTAATGGTTGTTCTCTCCTAGATTAATAAATCCAAGGAATTTGATTACTATAGTGAAAAAAAATATTTACAAATGTGATAAAAAAAAAAAACACTTATAGATATAGTAAAAACACTCCCAAATATGATAAATTTTTTTGTATCAAATAAAAGTGGTAAAAATAGTTATTATAAATATAATAAAACACCCACAAAAGTGATAAATCACCTACAAAAATGATAAATTTTTTAGTTGTAAAATAGCCCCATAAAAGTTATAAAAACACCCATTAAAAAGGTAAAATAACTCATAAAAGTTATAAAAACACCTATGACAGTGGTAAAAGTTAGACGTACAGTACCATATTAATTTTTTTTGGGTACCGTAATTAAATCCAAATCTAAGATAAAGGAAAAGAGAAATGGAGGGATGCCCCTTGGCTTCTTTCTCCTGTTGAACTACTTTGTCCCAGTCACCAGGCAAGATACCATAAGTGCTCAATAAGGGAGGGAGTTTGCATCGCCGTGTGAAATCCTCCGGTCAAACTTTAATGTTTGGCACGCCACTACGAGAATGATATAAGATTGATCACACAGCTAAAGTATTAAAATGTGGATGAGAAATGAATGGCCAATGTCTATTATGAGAGCTTGTACCACATTGGATGAGGACAAAATTGATAATGGCTCTATTATGAGAGCTCTGTTACCTACCCAAGAGCCAATATGTAAATTTCGAAAATTACTAAAATGTATTTTTTTGTAAGACAGGCTACAACACAAAAAATTAGGCTTCGTGAAATATTCAAACCTTTAATCTATTCTCGTGTTAAATTTATGAGGTGATTAAACTGCCACTAGACTAACCTTTATTTGTGTGCAAACAGTTCAGTAATGAGCTAGTCAATGCGATCTACATTACTCTCAAATGTCGACAAGTCATTCATCATACATGTGTATAATTATATATTCCTGTCTATATATACGGCAAGAAGATTTGGTTTTGTTGGTTTTTTTTTTGTGGGAGAGAGAGAGAGAGACCAAAACACCATTTTCCTCTATACTTTGTTATATTTTTCTTTGATACTAGCAATGAAAATATTATATATATGTGATTTGTTCAATTTCGGAGGGGTGTTTGAGAAAGAGAGAGAAGATAAAATTTTTCAAACTAGATGGTGGGAGAGAGAAGCTAAAAGGTTTTTCAACTGATTTGTATG